CAAGCTAGACATGAGAAGACTGATACAAATTCTGTCTGAGGAAAGGGCAAAGGTCTTTATACACTCTGTCCACATTTGAACTACAGCACACATTGTTGAGTCACTCTATTGGCTCATCTCCAAGGGCAATTCTTCCCTAATTAAATACATTGGGACCTAATCATAATTCTGAAGGTAGATTCTATATCTCCAGAGAATGCCACCAGGAAAATTATCAGAGGACTGACAGACCATTTTCTCTGGAGGGGGAGAGGTGCAAGAGCAGTCACAAAAGAAAAGCCTGAGATCAAACCACCAAAAGGAGAAGTCCAGAGGATAAAAATGAAATATATGAAAGCATTCTTGTTTAAATAATAACTTTCAAAATAGGCAAATCTATTTCAACTGTCATTGTAGATGATATCTGAATTGACTTCCAGAAGATGATGAAAGTTAATGTCAGAACAACTCTTTTAAAACTTGATTCAAATGCAGGCAAAGCAGAATTCTCTCCTACAAATAACAATCTTAAGTATGTCACCGAGTTTCAAACAGGCAAGTTCAGAGTGTCTGATTTAGCATGGAAGGGAGAAAGGGAAAATTGATGGAACAATTCTGTTTATCTCAAAGAGCTCATGAAACATTCACCAAAATGTACGCATGTTATGCCAGAAAATAAGTTCCAAAGCATTTCAAAAAACATAAATCATGTGGAATAATTATCTGATGATGATAATAGCATTCAACTAGCAACTAATAAAAATTATATAACTAAATTTCCTCATTCACAAATTAAGGAACACAAATCTAAACTACCCATAAAATAAGCAGGAGAAATAACAACAAACAATTTTAAAAATAGATATTCAACAGAAAGACAATCATTGCAGCTTTTGGAGAGAAATGTATAGTTTTATTTTTTTTTTCTTTTTCCCTGTTCTTTTCTTTTTTTTTTAAATAATAAATTTTATTTTTATATTCCCCATACAATTGCAACCCCCCCATTTTGACCCCAATACCTCCCCTCCCGCCCCCACCCCCCAAAAAGTGTCTCTGGTTCATAGTTTTTTGTTGATTTTGATTTTCACTTTCTTATAGTTATTCATTTTCCTGGTCCCTTATTTAAGTTTTCTAGATTCCTGCTATGAGTGAGACCATCCAGTATTTTTCTTTTTCTTTCTGGCTTATTTCGCTGAGCATGATCCCTTCCAGCACCATCCATGTTGCTGCAAATTGCATGTGTTTATCTTTTTTGAATGCTGAGTAATATTCCATGGTGTATATGTACCACAACTTCTTGATCCAGTCATCTATTTTTGGGCATTTGGGCTGTTTCCAAAGCTTAGCTATTGTAAACAGTGCTGCTATAAACATAGGGGTGCAGGTGTTCTTTGGAATGGATGTTTCTGTGTCCTTTGGGTAAATACCTAGGAGTGGAATTGCTGGATCATATGGAAGCTCTATGTTTAGTAGGTCCAGAAATCTCCACACAGCTCTCCATAGTGGTTGGACCAGTTTGCACTCCCACCAGCAGTGCAGGAGAGTTCCTTTTACTCCACACCCTCGCCAACATTTGTTGTTGCTAGTTTTTTTTAATATGTGCCATTCTCACTGGTGTAAGATGGTATCTCATGGTAGTTTTGATTTGCATTTCCCTGATGACAAGTGATGTTGAACATTTTTTCATATGCCTGTTGGCCATTTGCATTTCCTCTTCAGAGAAGTTTCTTTTTAGCTCTTCTGCCCATTTTTCACTGGATTATTTTCTTTGTTGTTGTTGAGTCTCATCAGCTCTTTGCAGATTTTTGTGATCAGTCCCTTATCATTAGTGTTGGGTGCAAAAATGTTCTCCCAGTTGGTGGGGTTTCTCTTTGTTTTTGTTATTGTCTCTTTTGCTGTGCAGAAGCTCTTTAATTTGATATAGTCCCAGCTGTTTATCTTTGCCTTCACTATCACTGCTTTGGGTGATGTGTCTGTAAAGATGTCTTTGATGTGCATATCACGTAGTGTTTTGCCTATATTTCCTTCTATGTATTTTATGGTTTCAGGTCTTATGTCTAGTTCTTTAATCCATTTTGAGTTGATTTTTGTGTATGGTGTGAGGTAGTGGTCAAGCTTCATTCTTTTGCATGTAGCGACCCAGTTTTCCCAGCACCATTTATTGAACAAACTTTCTTTGCTCCAATGCATAGTCTTTGCTCCTTTGTCAAAGATTAGTTGACCATAAATCTGTGGGTTTATTTCTGGATTTTCTATTCCATTCCATTGGTCTGTGTGTCTGTTCTTGTTCCAATACCATGCAGTTTTGATGATTATGGCTTTGTAGTATAGTTTGAAGTCTGGGAGTGTGATGCCTCCATTTCCTTCTTTTTTTTTTCAGTAGAGCTTTGGCTATTTGGGGTTTTTGGTGATTCCATATGAATTTCATCAATAATTGTTCTATTTCTTTGAATAATGACATTGAAATTTTGATTGGAATAGCATTGAATCTGTATATTGCTTTTGGTAGGATGGCCATTTTAATAATGTTTATTCTTCCAATCCATGAGCAGGGGATGTCTTTCCATTTCTTTGTGTCTTCTTCTATTTCTTTGAGCGGTGTTTTATAGTTCTTTGTATAGGTCCTTTACCTCTTTTGTTAGATTTATTCCCAAATATTTGATTTTTTTTGTTTCCATAATAAAAGGGATGGTTTTTTTTATTTCTTCTTCTTCAGATTTATTGTTTGTGTATAGGAAGGCTACTGACTTTTGCTTGTTGATTTTGTATCCTGCCACTTTGCTGAACTGATTGATGAGTTGAATTAGTTTTTCTGTGGAGTTTTTGGGGTTCTCTATGTATATTATCATATCATCTGCAAATAGTGATAGTTTGACTTCTTTTCCTATTTGGATTCCTTGTATGTCTTTCTCTTGTCTTATTACTCTGGCTAGGACTTCCAGTATTATATTGAAAAGCAGTGGTGAGAGTGGACATCCTTGTCTTGTTCCAGATCTTAATGGAATTGCTTTCAGCTTTTCACCATTGAGAATGATACTGGCTGTTGGCTTGTCATATATGGACTTTATGATGTTGAGGTATGTTCCTTGTATCCCAAGAATTTCAAGGGCTTTTATTATGAATGGGTGTTGCACTTTGTCAAAAGCTTTCTCAGCATCTATTGATATTATCATATGGTTTTTATATTTCTTTTTGTTGATGTGTTGGATAACGTTGATTGATTTTCGGATGTTGAACCATCCTTGTGTCCCTGGAATGAATCCTACTTGGTCGTGGTGAATTATCTTATGGATACATTGTTGGATTCTGATAGCTAAAATTTTATTGAGGATTTTTGCATCAGTGTTCATTAGGGAGATTGGCCTGTAGTTTTCCTTTTTTGTGTTGTCCTTGTTCGGTTTTGGTATTAGTGTAATGTTGGCCTCATAGAGTGTGTTTGGTATTGTCCCTTCCTTCTCAATTTTTTGGAAGAGTTTGTGAAGGATAGGCACTAATTCGTCTCTGAATGTTTGGTAGAATTCATTTGTAAATCCATCAGGTCCTGGGCTTTTGTTTTTGGGGAGGTTTTTGATTACCATTTCAATTTCACTGCTTGTAATTGGTCTGTTTATGTGTTCTATTTCTTCTTTATCTAGCTTTGGGTGATTGGAAATGTATAGTTTTAGATGTAACTACAAAAAAACAAGAAATAGTAAAAGAAATAAACTATTTTTTTATCCAAAGAAACTAGAAAGGAAAGCTAAAAGTCAGGGTTTGTATTTGTAAGTCCACATCGTTCACTGTCAATTTTAGGAATTCTCCATTCAGAAGCCTCTGGAAAATACAGGACTGTGTGTGACTTTATAGAAAACAATAATTCTGGGTCTCACATTTCATTAAGAAGGACAGCTTTCTGATATTTCAAGTACATGGAAGACAGAAATTTATCTATGAATAAATAATAAAATCTTAGGCACTGAGAATTCAATGGGTTATTCAACAGTATTTAATTCATTCTTTTTATTTTGCATGTAAAGTAACTGAGATGCAGGAAAACAAAGAAACATTCTCAAAATTGTACAGTCACATTATCTTTTTCTTACTTGAAATCGTTGATACTCTCACATGTTAGAAATTCAAACAAAAGGCTTTGTTTTGTTTGCCTAATTGATCTGTATAATTACTTCAACTAATCTCATTCATTTCCCTGTAAGGCTTGCTTTGAGAAATGAAGGTGTTGAATGAGCATAACCAAATATCTCCTTTGATTCTATCCTACAGTTTTTTTCTGGTCTAATGGCAAATCGCAAAACATTAATAATGATAATAAGATTTATAAGTTTTCATTTTCCACACAGATTCAGCCTCTCTCTCCACCTTAACCCCAAAACAAATAAGCAAGTTCAGTGAGAATGTAATAAAACTCAGAACCAGCAATTGTCCAATTTCCTTGGTGTCTCTAAACTGTGGCATTATATTTAGCTTACCAACTGGCCTTTATTGCAGTGATCAAGGACCTAATTTGGAACTTGATGTCTCTTGCAGACACATGTAGGCTAGTTATATATATACAGGATTTGGCTCACTTTGATAGCTTTGGGTCACTATTCTTTCATTTTCAGGCAGTTTTCCTGACCAATCAACCACTGTGGTATCTGCCGCCCATGAATATTAGTTTAGAATCTACTTAGAAAGAGTTGAGTATTTCTCTTTCCCAGAGAATATTATCCTTAAAGTGATTTCAGATCTCGCAGAAAAAAAGTCAGGATGAAAATTTAGACCATCTATTTGTGGTGATATCATGAACTAACTATTCCTGTATACCTGATGAGTCCATCATTTAGAAAGCTCTGGATTTGGACACTATTCACATCTGGTGATTGGATAGGAGTCATGACTTTCTTCAATTTGGATAATACCTAAATTCTGATAATTCAATTCAGGCCTTAGGCTCACTAAACCTAGGTTATATCTTATCATCATCATCATTTCATTAGTCTGCTTGAGTTACCATAACAATAAACTACAGCCTGGGTTACCTGGACAGACATCCATTTTGCTACAGTTCTAGAGGCTGGAAGTCCAAGACTAAGGTGTCAAATGGATTGGTTTCTAGTGAGACCTTTCCTTCTGGCATGCTCTGCAAGCGAGAAAGACTTTAAAAAGTGGTATTTATATTAAACAGTTCATATCCAAAAGTGCTACAGAAAACAGCAAAGACACCTTCCATTTATAACTAAGTCAAGAATATAGATTTATAGAGAATCAGAAAGATTTGTGATATAAAACAATCACATATGGAATGTGAGGAAACAAAACAAAGGGACAGACAAAAGTAAACCAAAGCAAACTCTAGAAATTTGCAGAATTGAGGATCTCAGAGGAAGAGGGTAGGAGATGGGAAGCAAAGGGGGTGAGGGGCCCCATGGATTATGGGTGGAGGATTATGGGTACCCTGGTGGTAAGTGTCTTAAAAGGAACTACATATGCAGAGATCTGAACCCATACCTATGAATCATATGCTGTTGTCATGTCAATAAAATGAAAGATTATGTCAATATAAAATAATAATAAAAGTTGAAAAATCTATTCTCATTATTTAATGTTCATTCTGTTTTAAAAAAATTTTAATATATACTCAGAAAGTTAATGTAAAGTTGAAAGAATCTGGGGATCTACTAGATATAAATGACTTAAACATCTATTTCAACTATTGCATAAGGCCAAATGATCTAGAAGTACAAATGTGATTAAACCAACTTAATGTTCTGATCCAAAACTTGATTAGAATATACAAGATCATCCACATGGTACCATCACAGTATAAAGTGAACAAAATTCATGTCTCATTGGTTTAGCTTCAGCTGTGAAATAGGCTAATAAAATTAATTTGACTAAGATATTCATTATTACAATTACATTTACATATTTTAAGCAGTAAGAATTATTATTTTTTTAATTTCAATTCTTTGAACTAAATATGAACGAGCTTATAAAGTCACATTTTTATGCAAAAGGGAGGTACCATACCCCACAAATAAGGATATGACATAATGAAAATATGTTCATTGAATAATCTTAACATATTATGGTTACCTATAAAAGGGATTAAAGCCATAAATTGTCTTGGTCTCCAAGGGATATGATCTATTCCACTTAGATGATCATTAATCTATGTGATTTATTTTTATCTTAAATAGGTCAGTGATAGGAGAAGGTGATTTTTTTAAATGTAGTTACTGATTGTGAAAGCATTATCTAATTCTATGAGAGAATGAAGATCATGATCTTCAGGATACCTACACCCCTCTCCCAGCTAAGGTCACATTTTTATTCCAAAGTTTTCTCATGGCATTTTTCATTTCTGCATTTCTCAAAGTATAGATTAAGGGGTTCAGCATGGGAGTTATGAAAGTGAAAAACACAGTAATAAATTTATCAATGGGAAAGGTGGAATTGGGTCTTGCATACAGGAAGATACAGGGAACGAAGAATAAAAAGACCACAGTTATATGGGCTGCACAAGTGTAGAGGGCTTTGCGTTTCCCTTCCAAACCATGAGACTTCAGAGAACATAATATGACCCCATAAGACAGTAGAAGTATGAAAAAAATGACAGTGCAAATTAACCCTCCATTAGCTATCAGTGAGATGCCAACTAGGTAGGTGTTAGTGCAAGCAAGTTTCAATAAGGGGTACACATCACACACAAAGCTATCAATGATATTGGGGCCACAGTAAGGGAGCTGATATATGAAGACAAACTGCACCACTGAGTGCAGAAAGCCTCCAGTCCAGACCACCAGGAGCATGAGAACACAGACCCGCTGATTCATGATGACCAAATAATGAAGAGGTTTACAGATGGCTACGTATCGGTCATAGGCCATCACCACCAGAAGGATGACTTCAGCACCAGCAAATAAATGTTCTATAAAGACCTGACTCATACAAGCCTTGAAGGAAATGGTCTTTTTCTCATGCAGCAAGTCCACAATCATTTTGGGAGCAATGACAGTAGAGTAGACAGTATCTATAAAGGATAAATAAGCCAGGAAAAAGTACATGGGGGATCCCAGTGACTGGCTGGCCATGATGGTTACCACAATAAGCATATTGCCCACCACTGTCACAATGTAGATGAGCAAAAATGTGACAAATAGAATTTTTTGTCCCTCAGCGTTCTGGGTGAGTCCCAGGAGGACAAACTCAGTAACATTGTTCCTATTCCCCATGTGTTCTTCTGAAGATGTTGAATTCAAATGCCAGAGACTACAAACAAAAGGCCAGTTATTAATTTGAGAAGAGGGCAATTGAAGACCACAATGTTAAAAATGTGATGCTTTACTTATTTACTTTTTCCTCCCACACTGCCTCATTTTTTCCTAAATGTTTTGCTCAACAATGAAGCGATTTCAGTTTAAAGTTCTGTATTCTATTCAGAAGGACTATGTGAGGAGATGTGTCTGTGAGATGATATACCAATTTTTTCTCCACAATACCTCTCACAAAGATTGTATTTTCAGTCATTGCATTGCTTTTTTTTTCATTGCTTAATATATTATATATATATTATATATATTTATGTAAAGTTATACGTAGTGCATGGAGCATAAAATTATAGTCTTATGTTTAGATAATGCTTCCAAACTACTGTGCCACAAGCAGTAGGAATCAGGAATTAGTTACCCATAATGATATAAAAACCAGGTTTACCTTGAGTAGACATGTGTTCATGATATGCTTATTAAACGTTGTATGAAAACTCATGAGAGTGCACCTGAGCAGATAAATGTATTAAATTTTTCCAAGAAAGAAGGTACAATGACAGTATTTTTTTTTTAAAATACACACAAGGGGAACACAGTCACAAATTCAATTAACATTTATTACAACCTAGGCAATTAGAAGAAGAAATGGAGAATATAAATCAAATTGAATGTGGACTATATAGACATTTCCCTACTCTGTAATACTGTTCATAATTGATTATTGTTAATAGTAATTCGATTCTGAATGTCCAAATAAAGGTTTTAGATAGAATAATGGTGTAGTAGAAGGAATTTTACACTCAAATTTTATAAATAGTATTTGATTTTATTTCATTATCTTGGGAAAATTATATCAACTTATATTTAAAATGTTACTATTTTTCTACATGTGTTTTTCTGAATTACTGATATTGTCATCTTTCTCCTAACTCTTACTATAGTGGTTTTTCCAGTAGAACATCTTTACGGTAATCAAGCTGAATTAGCCTGTTAAAGGTTATTAGAAAGTTGCAGTAATAGATGATACAGCTATTTTGTTCATATTATAAGTCCTCTGTTATCTGAGTTTGTATTGAATATGAGACATTCATTCTTACTTGAAAAAAATAAATCATTTTAGGGTATATTAGATATGCTCTGGGGTCAAGTTTCAATGTAATATGTATACCTTTATACTAGAAGATTATTTGCAATGCTCCTGTTTCACTGTCTACATTTATAGATGGTAAATTGGAAAGGGCAGGAGATTATTTGCCTTTGTTCTTCTGGACAAACGAATTTGTACTCAAACATCAGAATGAGTATTAAAGGACACAAGACAAAAAAAGAGATAACTGAGAAAAGGCAAATAGAAACTGACAAACACCAAAAACTGAATGAAATGTGTCCTAAATATGCTAAACAGCTTGGTTTGGGTAGCCTGACATAGTTGAGAGTAGAGGAATTTTGGATTTACTGATAAATCAAATAAGAGGGGGCCTGAAGTTTAATTTAGCATCAGTACCAGAATTTGCCTCTCAAAATATTAAACTTTGGGCCTCCCCAATGGTGCAGCGGGTTGAGCACAGTGCTATGAAGCTGTCCACAGCCTCTGCAGCGCGGGTTTGATCCCCGCCGGCCAGGGACCTACCCATATGGCGGGGCAGACCTCTCCTGTCTTGCCCGCTGCTCCCCTCAGCAGTGTATTTCGGTCCATTTGCCTGTTCTGTTCCCCTCTGTGTCTCTGGTGAATTCTCTCACCCTCTTGCACCTCTGGCCTGTACCCCTGTTCTTGTATAAGTAAATCAATCTTTTAAAAAATATATTAAATTTTCAGAGCAAAGAAAGATGAGAAAATCAAATTCTAAACTTTAAGATATAGCAGCAGAAGAGACCAGCTGCCTAGAAGAGGCATTTGGGATTGGAGGGGGTGGGTTCCAGCAGTTCATTGTACATATGCACATTTAAATATCTTTACTCACAATGATGAAGCTATATCTGCATTTACAGTGAAAAATAAATACTCACAATTCATAGGAGTTGTCAGAGTTTTTAAGAGAGAAATCCGTTGGAGGATCTAATCCCTTGACTTGTGGAGAGTTTACAATTAATTCATTTATAGCCTATTTTCCCCATAATCTGCTGGATCTGTTGGGATAGTAAACACACATTATAATATTTATAACTCCAGAATCTGAGTATGCCTTATACATTTGTAGTAACATAAGTATTTTGACTATTTAAAATGCTCATATGAAGTAATCATTCTAATCTACTAAAAACTATTACTTTGTTTCAGAATAATACAAAATTTCTATACATTATCTATGCATTTCCTTAAAAATAAAGACCTCTTAGGGCCTCCCCTGGTGGCGCAGCAGTTGAGCGCTGGGCTGGGAGGCTGCCGGCCAGGTTTGTTACCTGGCCGCCGGCGAGGGTCCCACAAAAAAAATAAATAAATAAATAAAGACCTCTTATTCAAACATTTGTGAGATTCTTCGAAGTTCTTTATATACTCAATGAGAACAAATTAAGGAATGCTCAAAAATGTAAATACACATGAGGTACCCACAAAGAAAATTAACACAAATGAAATAGATTTGTACTATGCCATTTGACAATATATTGCAGTAAAACAATATTTATAATGGATTTTCAACCACAGAAATTTATGCAAATTTATCAAAACAATAAAAGGTTTGATAAATATGTTACCTTTCTATTTCCTCTTTGGTCGTTCATCCCAAAACCAGACTTCTGCTCTATCTTTGGTCCTGGCAAGTGAATATTTGGTTTGTTGATGAGAAAAGTCAGGATCATCCCCCATCAACCCAGATATGACTGTGTAGAAAAGACCAGGGTACATTTATTCACTGCACTTGAAAACACCTTGTCAGACATAGACATATCTCTCTCTGCCCGCACAAAATAGGACCAACTTCCAACTGTGAAGAACATTTTGCATTTTGGGTAATGAATTGCGCAGAGCTGTCTTCAAAAATATAAAGCTGATATAACTGATGAATCATTGAATTTGAAAGTAGTCACTGAGAACATGTATCAAGAATCAAATATAAAAGCTCACCATGTTTAATTGACCAAATTAATTGAAGAAACCTATAATAATATTTTTAGTCAGTAATGCAGAGAGCTGTATAATCAGAGAAACAGACTTTGGATATTTTTAAAGCATTCATATGACTCTTCTAAGATGGTTCATGATAAGGTAACTGTTTTTATTTTACATCCTGACACTAATAAATACCCTAGGAAAAATGTTCTCTGGGTTAACTTCAATGAGGTATTGAAACAATTGTCCCCAAGGCTGCTTGCTCAAAATTAAATTCACTGAGGAATCATGCTCTAGAGAACTAAGATAATCTACATGATCCTTCCAGGGCATTCTATAATTTTAGAAGCTTCTCCTGACCTATCATTTTAGAAGAATAAAATGAAAATAATAGCAATCTAAAACCAAAGAGCAAGCCATTTATTAATAGTGAAACATAAGCTTACATGAACAAGAGACTTTTATTGTTAATGCCAGTGTATATTTGAAATTCTCCAATCTAAGAAGGCACTGGAGTGAAATAAAAAACTTAAAACTTTGTTCAGGTTTATTTAATGACAAATGGTACAAGATTATTGCTAATCAATTTACTTAGCATCCCCCCTAAATTTATAAGCTAATGCTTTAGAAGACAAATATTTATTTTAAGAAAAAGACTGAGGAATATAAGTGGTTCGGTAAGAACAATTCCACTCCTAGGTATTTACCCAAAGGACACAGAAACATCAATTCCAAAGAACACCTGCACCCCTATGTTTATAGCAGCACTGTTTACAATAGCGAAGCTTTGGAAACAACCCAAATGCCCAAAAATAGATGACTGGATCAAGAAGATGTGGTACATACACACCATGGAATATTACTCAGCATTCAAAAAAGATAAACACATGCAATTTGCAGCAACATGGATGGCGCTGGAAGGGATCATGCTCAGCAAAATAAGCCAGAAAGAAAAAGAAAAATACCGGATGGTCTCACTCATAGCAGGAATCTAGAAAACTTAAATAAGTGACCAGGAAAAAGAATAACTACAAGAAAGAAAATATCAAAATCAACAAACAACTATGAACCAGAGACACTCTATGGGGGGTGGGGGGCGGGGAAAGCAGGGATTGGGGTCAAAATAAGGGGGTCGTAATTGTATGGGGAATATAAAAATAAAATTTAAATAAAAAATTAAAAATTAAAAAAAAAAATGAATGTAGGGTTATTTTAGAATGTTAGTAAGGATAACCCACAAGCAAAGCATGGCTCATCAGTTGTGTGGATGCTATTCAGCAATTTTAGAGACTCTTCCTTCTTAGAAGATTTCCTAGAGTACATGATCAAATACATTAGTGAACTAATTGTTATCTTTGAGTATTTACATTATAAATATAAGAATGAAGGCTATAATCCCAGCATTTCTAATTCGAAGACATTTTATTTGGGAATGCTAATTATTAAAGAGTGAAAAGGAATTTGGTCCTTTTTTTCTGGGCTGAGTACTAATTTTTAATTCTTAATAATGGCAACTGACTAGCCATTTTAAGTGACACAAGTTTAATAATATAAATCTTAAGCTATAAACAGAGCAACAGACTAGGTGACAGAGAAATTCAGTCCAGGTACTTACTAAACAGCCAAAAATACAACATATTTATTTATCTGTAGCTGTTATCAGATAGATGGCACAGTGTGTGCTCATTCTGTACTGAAGATGAGAGGTTAGTGGTGGAGCAAGCAGTAAAATGGTTAGAACTATAATTTTGTGTGTGTGTGTTTGTGGACCATCAGCTTGGCCTGGCTCCAGTGAAGCTCTGTCTGGGAGATAGTAATTCATGGAACAGTGATCAGCATTTCAGCCAGTACAGACAGCCTCAAAGGGATACAAGTGGAATGATGCAAGTCTGCACATTTTCAAATTCGGTGCCATTTAAAATGACATGCTGCCCTCTTTTAGCCCAGGTCTTTTACCCAAAGGACATCTTATTAATGATGTTTCTTCTGAGATATAGATTAAAAACTATTTACAGTTTCACAGCGCAGCACTCAACCACCTGTGCCACTTCCATATGATCCAGCAATTCCACTCCTAGGTATTTACCCAAAGGACACAGAAACATCAATTCCAAAGAGCACCTGCACCCCTATGTTTATAGCAGCACTGCTTACAATAGCGAAGCTTTGGAAACAACACAAATGCCCAAAAATAGATGACTGGATCAAGAAGATGTGGTACATATACACCATAGAATATTACTCAGCATTCAAAAAAGATAAACACATGCAATTTGCAGCAACATGGATGGCGCTGGAAGGGATCATGCTCAGCGCAATAAGCCAGAAAGGAAAAGAAAAATACTGGATGGTCTCACTCATAGCAGGAATCTAGAAAACTTAAATAAGGGACCAGGAAAATGAATAACTGTAAGAAAGTGAAAATCAAAATCAACAAACAACTATGAACCAGAGACACTCTATGGGGGTTGGGGGGCGGGGAAAGCAGGGATTGGGGTCAAAATAAGGGGGTCATAATTGTATGGGGAATATAAAAATAAAATTTATTTTAAAAAAACTATTTACAAATTAGGCTCAATGGCAAATTACAAATATTGCCAAATGACAGGCATAGTTCCATGAATGATTTTGTAAACAGCTTAACTGACTGCCTTTTTTGGCAATTATTTTTCTAGTAGATGACATTTAAATTCCTCTACCAACCACAAGGGTCGTTTCCTATTTAAGTCTTTGGACACTTACAAGTATCTTTAAACCATTACCAGCCCTGGTCCTCTCCAAATAACACCATGAAATGATTAGATGTTCCCAGAGCAATTCCTGCTTTATTTGCCTGCACACTTTTGGATTGAGAAAGTTCAAATTCTAATACGATATGATTTTCAGCTCTTTTTTAAATGAAAGTTCATGTAGGCATTTTCTGCATGGAGTCAGACCTTTGGCAAAACTTCCATGTTCCTAGAAATGTTATTTGCATACCCTCCACCTTCTATTTGCTGGGGCCATCAGGCTTTTGGAGGTTACAAATGTATCAGACCAAGTTTTGGAGGTAATTTTACAAGTTTATTTGAGTATTAAACATTTCCTTTTAAAGTTCTTCAAAATCACTGAAATAACTGAATCACCAATATACAAGACTACTATACTTAGCATGTATGAGTAGTTCATCTAATTTATTTAAACACAAATTGTGGCCTCAGCACAGGGGACCTTGAACTATCAACAATTTTTAGCTTGATTTACTTTAACCAATTCTGGAAAATTACCAAAATTTAAGTAACTTGCTTCCAAAATGAGCAAATGAAAGAGTGTATTTATGTTTCACAGATGTCCTCTGAGGAGCAGAGGAACAGGAATAGCTTGTATGTCCAAGGCTAGCTTTAGAAATATTTTATGATTTCATACATTGTCTTTCTCCCTGTGCATGTTTGTATTATATATTTCTGCTTTGCTCCCATACAAACTTCCTTAAACTTTATTTTCCTACTAATTACCTTTGAAAAAAAGCTTATGTAGTTTAATGACACTTCAAATTTCTGACTTTCATTTCATTCAAAGATAAACTGGATTTTAAAATTATATTTCTCTATATAAAAACACATTTATATTGAGCTGCACTGCCCAACCTGCTAGTGCTGATGTTGGTGAGGGTGAGAAGAGTTGCTCAGGATGGGATAGTGAAATTAAGTCAGGTTCCAAATGGAAGAAAATATCATAGGATATTACAGTAAGACATGGTAGGGACATAGTGAATATCAGATATATGTGAAAATAATCTCCTTTGAGAAGGGAGGAATACAGATAGAAGGAATGTAAGTGCAATGTCCTTAGGATATGACCAGTCTCATAGGCTATTCAGGGAAACACATTCTACATGCTCAATAAGCATAGGAAATAAATGAAATGTCTCCAGTTCTTCCTTCTTGGATGTGTCTACTGAAAAACGAAGATAACTTCCCAGGTGGAAGTTCCTCCAAACCAGAATCTGAGAGAGAGGTTTATATGTAGGTAGTTTATTTTTGGAACCTAGAATGGAGGCTGTGGATGGGGACACTGAGTGTAAGAGGTGAGAAAACTCATAATATATTAAGCTGGTTACCATTTATCCAGTGGCTCCTATCTACCGATGATCTCAGATATCTTTAAGATTTCTGAAATACTTCTTTCCAGATGTGTGCACCAGAATGATGAATCAGGGGCTTCTAAATACCTAGAGCAGCGAGTATCAGGAGAGAAAGTGAGAGACACACAGGTAAGAGAAGGTGCTGGGGAGATAAGTAGGACTGAGATATTTTCAGGCTATAATTGGTAGCAGCTGCTTGATGTGTCAGTCCCAGAAGAATATGGTAGGTCAAGAGGGTGTGAGACAGAGTGCAAAAAATTTCTGACACACTCAGTGATTACTAATTAAAAATATATTCCTTTTGTAGATTTTCCCATTCAAAGTAATGTGTTTATATCAGCCCAAAATAAATGGAGAATCCAAGCAATGTGGCTGAATTCATTCTTTCGGGCATTACAACACATCCAGAGCTGAAGAAAACAGTCTCTGTTGTATTTCTCATCATGTATGTTTTAACAATTGTGGGAAACCTACTCATTGTGGCCACCATGGTCACAAGTCCAAGTCTGAGGTCACTGATGTATTTTTTCCTCACTGCCTTGTCTCTTTTAGATGCCACCTACTCTTCTGTCATTGCCCCCAAGATGATTATGGACTGCCTCTTCGATATCACCATCATCTCTTTCATAGGTTGCATGGCCCAGCTCTTCACAGAGTATTTCTTTAGTGGTGTGAGGATCATCATTCTCATTGTCATGGCCTATGACCGCTACATGGCCATCTGCAAGCCCCTGTACTACAAGACCATCATGAGCCCTCGCAAGTGCTATGTGCTGCTGGGAGCAGCCTGGCTAGGGAGTTCCATGCATGCAACAGTACAGTTTCTTTTCATGTACCAAGTACCCTTCTGTGGTCCCAATGTGATAGATCACTTTATATGTGATCTATGGCAGATACTGGCCTGCACGGACACCCAGGTCCTGGGCATCTTAGTCATCCTCAACACCAGAGTGATGTATATGGCCATCTTCATTATGCTTATTGCCTCCTACACAGTTATCCTGTGCTCCTTGAAGTCTTACAGGTCTGAAGGACAGCACAAAGCTTTCTCCACCTGTAGTTTCCACCTCACAGTGGTCATCATGTTCTTTGTGCCCTCTATATTCTTGAATGTGAGGCCTATAGCTACTTACCCCATAGATAAGGCAATGACTGTGTCCTTTACCATTTTCATACCCCTTCCAAACCCGTTGATGTACACCTTATGGAATGCAGAGGTGAAAAATGCCATGAGGAAACTGTGGATGAACAAAGGACCCTGGGTGGTCATTAGCTTACATATTTTGGAATATCCTTCCTGTGAAGACTATGAAATCTCAGTTTCCTATTCATTTGAATTCATTGGACACAGAGCCAATAACATTAAGACCTCCCTATCACTTCAGTATGTTTTTAATCTCTTCCATTTCTACTCGGTTCTGGCAACTCTTTTATTTTTTTTAAATAATAAATTTTATTTTTATATTCCCCATACAATTGCAACCCCCCCATTCTGACCCCAATCCCTCCCCTCCCGCCCCTCACCCCCAAAAAGTGTCTCTGGTTCATAGTTTTTTGTTGATTTTGATTTTCACTTTCTTATAGTTATTCATTTTCCTGGTCCCTTATTTAAGTTTTCTAGATTCCTGCTATGAGTGAGACCATCCGGTATTTTTCTTTTTCTTTCTGGCTTATTTTGCTGAGCATGATCCCTTCCAGCGCCATCCATGTTGCTGCAAATTGCATGTGTTTATCTTTTTTGAATGCTGAGTAATATTCCATGGTATATATGTACCACATCTTCTTGATCCAGTCATCTATTTTTGGGCATTTGGGCTATTTCCAAAGCTTAGCTATTGTAAATAGTGCTGCTATAAACATAGGGGTGCAGGTGTTCTTTGGAATTGATGTTTCTGTGTCCTTTGGGTAAATACCTAGGAGTGGAATTGCTGGATCATATGGAAGCTCGATGTTTAGTAGGTCCAGAAATCTCCACACAGCTCTCCATAGTGGTTGGACCAGTTTGCACTCCCACCAGCAGTGCAGGAGAGTTCCTTTTTCTCCACACCCTCGCCAACATTTGTTGTTGCTACTTTTTTTAATATGTGCCATTCTCACTGGTGTAAGATGCTATCTCATGGTAGTTTTGATTTGCATTTCCCTGATGACAAGTGATGTTGAACATTTTTTCATATGCCTGTTGGCCATTTGCATTTCCTCTTCAGAGAAGTTTCTTTTTAGCACTTCTGCCCATTTTTTGACGGGATTATTTTCTTTGTTGTTGAGTCTCATCAGCTCTTTGCAGATTTTTGTGTTCAGTCCTTTATCATTAGTGTTGTGTGCAAAAATGTTCTCCCAGTTGGTGGGGTTTCTTTTATTTTTTTTTAAACCTTTCTTTTGATTAATTCAAGCCTTTTCCATTTCAGAGGTTTGGGGTTTGCTCTAATTCTGCTCACTGCTGATATTCACATTCCCAGAAATCTTCTCTGGCAGCTCTATCACATCGTTTTCCTTCAGATCAACATCCACCTCCTTGGACAAATCTTTCCTGATGACTTTCTCTGGTCTTTTCTTCAGTTGTTTTATAGCTTTTCATGCAATTACAGTCTCAACATCAGTGATCACAAAATATACTTTAAAAATTTTCTTGAGTTTCATTTTCTGTTGTCCCTACATGATTATAAACCTATAAAGATGGGGGTTATGTTTTCTCATTCATGGTGTGGTTAGATCTCTGCCAGTCACCTTGTAAGTGTTTAATAAATATTACTGAATGAATATATGCCTAGAAGAGTATTTGCTTTGATATTTGCAATTTCACATGTTGGGTAAGAAGGGGGAACATATAAAGCAGACACTTTAGTTTGAATTTGCCCTTTTGTCTGCTGCTAACTGTTCCTATAGGATATTTTCAGAAGCATATACAATCTCAGGTTTGCAGTTTGCCATTTAATATGAAGGCCACCAATTCACCAAACTTCTCCACTGCCTTTTACATCCTTCCAAGAAGCAAGATGAGAAGCTATCATGGTAGAGTGAAAATACTAAATAATTTAGTGTCTAAATCTTAAATCTAATGTCTATATAATATTTGAGGAAAGAGGATCTCCATAGACCTCATTCGTTTAGACTATAAGAGACTGATTCTTGTCACATTCAAGATTTGTATTTTTAATCCAAATTATATTCACTTTTTCCAGATCCTGATTTAGATATCACTAGAGAAACACAGATGCCTTTGTAAACTACCTTACTTAACTAGGTATATAGGAAGCCCAGGATCATAGCATGATTAATATCCCTATTGTGATTTCCATTTATACAGATGTTCTACATATATGAGAAGAATACATCAGATGTAGTATTTGAAATATACATGGCATTTAAATCAAGATTCTGATCATCATATGCATAAGTTAGGCATCTAATTTCAAAAATCACCATTTTTTTGCAATAACTACAAAGTCCAGTCACTTATTGAGAATAACTGCTGAGTTGTACAGAATGTCAGATGCTCCCTCAGGTGCTGGGTATGCCATTATGACTAAGACAATATATATCACGTCCCTTTTGTCTTGGTATTTACATTCTAGTGCAAGAGACAACCTATAGTTCAGTGAAAATAAAGCCATGTGGTGAATAACTGAATCTCAGAAAACATCACTAGAAGGGAATGGAATTTTTCAAGAGTATAGGATAGGAAAAAATGAAAGAATATTAAAATAATATCTTTAGATATAAGAACACTGATAATTATAGTTAAATAACATAGTAATGGTAAATAGTTACAGGAAATGTCAAAGGAGAGTAAATAATTGTAGAGTATACATAACAACACACACACACACACACACATATATATACATATACATAGAAAGAATGTGTATACATATATAGAAAGAATTCATCAAAATTCATTAGTAAAGATTCTCAGTCCAATACATCGGGTGAGTGAAACATGTTCACATATGGAGCTATGAGGCTGTGCTCCTAAAATTACATAATTATACAAACAATTGGTAAGTCAATGCAATTTGAGAAGAAAAGGAATTCAGGAATACACAAGTAATTGACCAAGTTTATGAAGTAGATTCTCTGTGCCAGACATCATGCACAGAGAGGAATAGGACAGAAAGCAAAAGACATTCAGAAATGTTCTCTCCTCGAAGGTAGCTTATAGACAGACAGACATAATCAATACCGGTATTTTTTTTTTAAGATTTATTTTATTTTTATACAAGAGCCAGGGTACAGGACAGATGTGTGGGAGGGTGAAAGGATTCACCAGAGACAGAGCGGGGAACAGAACAGGCAGATCGATGGAAATACACTGCTGAGGAGAGCAGTGGGCGAGACAGGAGAGGTCTGCTCATCATGTGGGTTGCTCTGAGGCCAGCGGGGATTGAACCAGCACTGCAGAGGCTGCGGACAGCTTCACAGCGCTGCACTTAACTGCCTGCGCCACCAGGTAAAAATACCAGTATTTTTATCTCATCACACAAAATAGCTAGAGAGATTTGAAAATTAACCAAATGTCTTTATCTATTTAGGCTGCTATAACAGAATGAATATCAAATGGGCGATCCAAACAACAAACATTAATTTCTCACTGTTCTAGAGGCCTGGGAACTCCAATTATCAAGTTGGCAGATGGCAGATTCCATGACCAGAAAGGACTACTTCTTAGACGAGAAGGAGCCATCTTTGACCTGAGTTTTCTTCTGTGGCAAAAGATTCAAGTGTCCTCTCTGGGGCTCTTTTGTAAGGGCATTAATGCCATTCAGAAGGGTTCTATGTTTGCGACCTAATCATTTTCCATCACATTATAAACAAGTTAACTTACGAACTTTGGAGAAACACAAATGTTCAGTCTATAGCAGTGGAGAACTTAATAATATAAATTGTGATAAAATCAGATATTTGATTTCCCATCAGGAATAAAAGTAATATTTAGGTTTTTTTCTGCATACTTGTATTGTTCAGATGTTATTATAACCTATGGCACCTTAAGAATAAAATTAGAACTCTGAAGCAACATTTTTCTTTAGCCCTAACATGCTAAGTAATATAAGCAAAATTATTTAAAGTACCCTGAAGATATAAAAATAAGGTAAGAACTTTAAAAATTATAACAGCTTTCTTTGTGTGGGCTAGAGTGAACCAGGTTTTTTAAGTCACATTTCTTATTTTTTCTGAAATTCGTAATGAACACTATTAATTCTGAAAAATATTACTTAAAACATGACAAAAATCTTCCATATAAAAGGTAAATTTATGGTAACTATAGTATAAGTCATCACATGGAACATAAATCTATTGTTTTGACAGAGACATTTTATACATAAAAACTGAGCATATATTTTCCTAAGACATGAAAGTCTTTGATCTGTCTTTGATAATTAGAAGTATTCATATAATAAATGTTTTAATCATGAACAAATCATTAAACCTTAGGAGAAATTTAATAAAATTAAATACTCACACATGGCTTTCCTGAAAGAAGCAGTTCTTCAGTGAAAATAGGTGGTAATATTTCTCAGCCACTTCATTTTCTTTTTCTGGTCCAGAGCTTTTTCATAGCATTTTTCATCTCTCCATTTCTCAGAGTATAGATTAGGGGGTTTAACATAGGAGTGATAACGGTGTAAAACACAGTCAAGGATTTATCAATGGGTAGAGTAGAAGGAGGTCTCACATACATAAAAATACAGGGTACAAAGTAGAGAACCACTACAGTAATGTGGGAGCCACAGGTAGATAAGGCTTTACGTCTCCCTTCCTGACTAAGATTCTTCAGGGAGTGAAGAATGACCCCATAGGAGATGAGTAAGAGCATGAAAATGACCACACAAATTGCCCCATCATTGGCAACCACAGTGAGGCCAATAACATAGGTGTCCGTGCAGGCAAGTTTTAGTAAGGGGTACATGTCACAGATGAAGTGGTCAATGACATTGGGGCCACAGAAGGGAAGGTTGTATACAAAGAGAAGTTGAACTACAGCATGCAGAAATCCACCAACCCAGGCCAACAGCAGTAGTAGAACACACATCCTTTGATTCATGATGGTCAGATAATGCAAGGGTTTGCAGATGGCCACATAGCGATCATAAGCCATGACCACCAAGAGTAAAATCTCAGCACCACCAAATAAGTGCCCAATAAAAAGCTGGGTCATGCATGCTTGGAAGGAAATGGTTTTCTTCTCATAGAGTAAGTCTATAATCATATTTGGGGAGACTGTAGTGGAATACACAGCATCCATAAAGGATAAGTGCCCAAGAAAGAAGTACATAGGGGCATCCAGGGTTGGGCTGACCACCACAGTCACAACAATGAGTAGGTTGCCTACCATTGTTACAATATAGATGAGCAAGAACACAACAAATAATACTCTCTGACCCTGGAGGCTCTGAGTAAGTCCCAAGAGAATAAACTCAGTCACATTGTTCCTTTGATCCATAGGTTTTTCTTCTAATGTCTTATACTTGAGTCAGGAAAAAATACCTGTAAGTGTAATGATTACTAGAAGTTTCCTAAAATTTTAAGAAATGTGTTTATTCATTCAACAAAGAGGCATTATATTATGGTTTAAAATATTCCAGTACATTCAATTTATAAGAATTCAAGACTGTTTAAAGCATAGTCCCTAACCAGAATAATCTTACAGACTGATGGAGAGAAAAATAGAGACATATGTAGGGAAAAGGGATATTATTAAATAAATGGATTGCCACAACTATCTTTCCACCTGGGGGTAATAAAGTTGTACATAGAGCTTATAGCTTATAAACAAATAAAAATATTTAAAAACGATGAAAATCTAAAGCAAGATTTACTTCATATTTACTTTCAAGTTGATAAAGATATGATTTCCCATGGGTGGAAGAATCTTTTTAATGAATCATTGAATCAAAAATAGACATACTTGGAAATTTCAAAGATACCATAAAGTCAAAATATTAAAAAAGTTTTGTAAAAGATTAACATTTTGGAGGATATGCAGAGTTATTATCTAAAATAGACAAGGAACTCTAACCCAATTAACAAGTAAAAGACAAACCAATATCAAGGAAAAGAATATCAACAAGCAAATAAAGGAAGATTATATCCAAATGACTAATAAATTCATGATAGAATGCGAAAATATGCCTCTAAATAAGAAAACAGGAATTGAGATAAAAGTTTATTTGTTAAAATATACCTTTGATTCTTGAAAATCACCCATCAAATTTTATAGAAGCTCTAGCATCTTCTAATTTTAAGATTAACAATACTCAGAAAATATATCAGTTGAATTTATCATGAAATTTCAAAGTGCCTTCCCTTAAAAGCTCTCATTTAAGTTACACCTAAACTTAGTGTTTGGGAAGACTGATTTTAGAGAAGGAAAATTTATTCTGAATCTTTATATTATAAACATATCCCAAAGAGTATTACAGTTAAGTCTATTCGCACATGTTAATAATTACAAAGGATACCTAACAGAATTGATTATCAGAACCACATAGGAGAACTTAATTCTCACACCAATAATGTTTTCTTGCAAATAGTAAAGGCTAGTTCAGCATCTTGTGTAAAAATATACTTTCTGGATTACCTGCGTAATGAGAGTCATTCAATCCACCTCCTGGGCTCTGGTCCTTTGTGCACTGATGGCAACACAGACAGCAAAACAACACAATACATGCACCATCGCTGGATCTTGAACTGTTTCCATGCAGGCAAATCATTCCATTCTTGCAGGAAGTGTGATTCATCTCATTCTTTTAAATTGGTGGGGTTTTCAAAATGAATTGCACATGTCCAGTAAACTAAAGAAGTCTAAATCTTGACTGTGAACAAAATTCCAAAAGCTTCACTGTTGGTAGTTTTGTCCTGAAAAACAAATGTTAAAATCAATACTTTGAAGTTAAAAAATAGTCAACTTTGTAGTGGGAAAAAAACTGAATTGTCTAAATTAATATCTTAAAACATTTGCTTTATGCCAATGGAATTAAAAGGATGGAGTAACATTTGATTTGCCCAGAAATAATCAAATTATTATAATGGCCTGTCTTCATAGGGAATAGTTGAACTTTGGGTTGCCTAAAGGATGGATAATAATCCTACAAATTGTACATAGTTTATTATGTTTGAGTTCATTATTTCAATTTCTGAAAAAGCCAGCCATGTGAAGACTGACATAGACAGACATTCTCTGAGAGAAAGATAAAGGTCTATAAACACTTGTAGACATTTGAACTAGAGCACATATTGTTGAGTCATTCACTTGGTGCTTCTCCAAGGGTGATCTCTAATTAAATTCATAGGGACCTTAATCATAATTCTGAGGGCAGACTTTGCATCTCCAGAGATGTCCCCTGGATAATCAACATGTAGAACAGGACTTACAGAACCATGCCCTCTGGAGGGAAATCATAAAAATATGACTTCATCAAAAGGGAAAAGTCCAGTCTGGGATGAGATGAAATTCCTCAAAACTCTAGTTCTTATCATGATCTTAAAAATAGGCAAAACTGTCTTTGCAGAAGTATGAAATGACTTCCAAAAAAGATGAAAGTTAATTTCAGAATAAGTCACTGAAAACTTGATTCTAGTGCAGATAAAGCAGAGTTCTTCCCTCAAAGTAAGAATCTTGAGTTTCTGATATTGTTTCAGATAGGCAAGATGACAGTGTCTTATTTCACACAGGAGGGCTGAAGAGAAAGCAGTTGTGAGATAATTTTCTTTATCTCAAGAGCTCATGGAACGTTCCCCATGGATAATTATGGAACTTGCCATAAAACAAATTCCAATGCATTTCAAAGAACTTAAATCAGAATATATATCTGATAATAGAATTCAACTCATTGTTAATAATATATTTAAACAAAACCTAGTTATTCTAAATTAACTTATACAATTGTAAATTACCCATGAATTAAAGATGAAATATTTTTTAAATAAATTTTCAACAGAAATTGAAACAAAATAATCAAGAATGAAGACGGGATCATCACTGCTGACTCTACAGACCTTAAAAAGAAAAGCATATTAGAATGTATGACAATATATTTGCCAACTAAGAAAGTGGACCACTTCCATGAAAAAATACAACTTTCTAAACACAGAGAATTATAAACTTTAATCATCTAATATCTGTAAGTAGATTATTTAAAATCCTTCTCCTCCCAAAACAAAATTCCAATCCCATATAGCTTTATCAATAAATTCCATTTAATATTAATAGTACCACTGGTCCAACCACTATGGAGAGCTGTGTGGAGATTTCTTGACCTATTAAACATAGAGCTTCCATTTGATCCAGCAATTCCACTCCTAGGCATTTATCCAAAGGACACAGAAACATCAATTCCAAAGGGCACCTGCACCCCTATGTTTATAGCAGCACTATTTACAATAGCTAAGCTATGGAAACAACCCAAATGCCCAAAAAATAGATGACTGGATCAAGAAGATGTGGTACATATACACCATGGAATATTACTCAGAAATCAAAAAAGATAAGCACATGCAGTTTGCAGCAACATGGATGGAGCTAGAAGGGATCATGCTCAGCGAAATAAGCCAGAAAGAAAAAGAAAAATACCGGATGGTCTCACTCATAGCAGGAATTTAGAAAACCTAAATAAGGGACCAGGAAAAAGACTAATTAATACAAAGTAAAAATCAAAATCAACAAGCAACTATAAACCAGAGACACATAACTGGGGTGGGGAGGGACAGGGAGAGGAAGGACTAGGGTCAAAATAAGGGGGGGGTGCAATTGTATGGGGAATATAACCAAAATGAAAATGCATACATT